GACTACCATGGATACGTCTTCATACCAAATTTCAAATTCATGTGACGTATGTTTTCGAAGTTATGGCTGATTAAAAAGGTTACACCCATAGGAAGTGCCACGTCTCTGTTACAAAAGTATATTTACTTGACTATAAGCATCTATCATAGATATGTATGTGAACGCACCAAATTTCAAAGTCATGTGACTTACGGCTTCGAAGTTATAGCTGATTAAAAATGTCACGCCTATGGGAGGTGCATCGCCCCCTTATCAGATCCAATTTTTTTAAACCCTAGGTTACGTCCGAGGTCACTCTTTATACACCAGTTAAAACCCCATGAAAATCCATTCAGAAGTTCCGGAGATTAGTGAGTTCAAACAGACGAACAGACAAACAATTTGCAGTTTTATTATAGTATAGATAGATATGGATACTTTACTTTAAACATCATAGATCTGTCTTCACACTAAATTTAAAAGTCGTCTGACTTACGGTTCCAAAGGTATTGCAGATTAAAAGTTTCACGCCTATGGGAGGTGCCTCGCCCCCTTGTAAAAACTCATTCATATATACCCTACTATAAGCGCCTACCATGGATACGTCTTCATACCAAATTTCAAATTATATAATTCCAAGTGCAATGTATGCAATTTGATAAATATAAATTCAAAGATATTCAAAAGATACAATGGCAAAAGTTAAAATCGTATTAGGTAGATGTTTTAGTACAAATTGAAAAGTAAATACGCATAGTTATGAATACATACAAATTCAATAAATACATACATAGGGTGCCAGCGTATATATCGCATATACTATGTCTCCATTGTGAGATTTAATGAAGATTTAGCCCTCTGACGAGATTTGACGTTAAATCTTTTGAGATTTACCATATAAAATTAAATCTCGAAAGGCAGTAGATTTAAGTTAAATCTTCGTCAAATCTTCAATAATATTGATCAATAAGTACAATTTGTTGGATGTGGCATGCCATAAGTCAAATGACATTTGTGTTTTCAATATACAGTTGAGGACATTGAAATCTAGCCTATCATAAAAACATGAATTTTCGTGTTTTTAGGGATTTTTATATTTTTGTTAGTTTGGGAGGAAAATTAGTAATACATATTTCCATAACTTTGGTTGTAATAAATTAGAAAATATTATTTTAAAAACTAAAAATTTAGAAAAAATTTTTTATAGTAATATCATGCAGAGTCTTCTCCGCTTTCTATAAGTCATTTACGCGCTGCGACAAAAAATTAATAAATTTCGGTAATGGATCTGCTTCGATAACATTGCACCGAACATCCTCTAGAACTCAGTTCGTATTCATGATATGCCAAAGGCCCACGATTGGATTTTCGGTTCCCTCCTATGAATAAGAGAGTTCTACAAAAATTTTTCTTTTCGCAAATGGTTTTTAATGTTTTGATAATTTTTCTTAAATTCGGAAAAATGATTCGAAATATGGTACCATTCTTTACACTTTCCAAACTATATATTATACATACATATTTACCACGAATAAGAAGCCAATAATATTCAGAATTAATATAATGAAATTCCGCTTTACCACATTACCACAACGAGATATGTTTGACGTTCATATTTTTAAATATTTGACGCTTGCTTATGTATGATTTTATAAATACAGTTGCGGACATTGATATACAGACAGATAAATACCTTCCTTTTATAAAATCATACATAAGCAAACGTCAAATATTTAAAAATATAAACGTCAAACATATCTTGTTGTGGTAATAGAGACGGTTGTGATTTAGCAACTGGATTTATTAAATCTTAATGAATAAATCTCTCAATGGAGACATAGTAATAGATATGAATGCATACAACTTCAATAAATACATTCAATGAAATACTGTGGACGTGTTTCCGCATTGGTCGCTCCAACATCCTGCCGGCCCTAGATGCATTAAGCGCCTAGTGCCTCCTTCAGCTCCTGTAGAGCCCGCATCGCCTCATGAACCAGGATGCTGGTGACTTTAACCCGATAGGAGGCAGTTTGTAGCCCACGGGCGGTACGTCGAACGGTGCGTTTTCTATTTGCGGACTCTGAGGTATGGCGTCCGAGGTGCTTGAAGCGCGGTGGTGTACGCCCTGATCCCCCACATTGGGGAGCGTTTCTATTTGTGTGGACGAGGCGTTTGTGGAGCTGCACTGCGGAGTTCGCATTCGTGCGGCGAGCTGCCGGTGTAAGAGTGTGTGATGTTGTAGCGAGAACACTCTGCACCTACCACTGGATGTGCATTCGGCCGTGATGTGCGACAGAGCCAGACAATTTGTGCAATATTTATGTGCCCTGGCTAACAAAAAGCGTTGTTGCGGCTTCATGCCTACGAATACGGGGCACATTCTTAGGGAGTGGTGACGAGTGCGCAGGCGACATCGCAGATAGTCCTCCTCGTGGCGAAGAGAGCCAGGTGATGGTTCGCCTTCCAGGGAGGGAGTCATTACCACTTTGGACCTGAGCGATGTGCGCGGCGCTGGCGTGGGGTTTCCCCTGTCGTCCATCTGTAAAGATACGGAAACCTTTAGTTTTTCGTATATCACTATATGGGAGGCATAGGAGGGAGATACGAGAAGTATGTATGTATGTGTGGTGTATGAGAAAAGGTGTGCAGCCATTTGGGTGCGGCCGTCGACCACACGAATGTGTCCATCCTTGCCATTGTGCAACCTTTCGATGCGGCCCAGGCGCCATTCCGTGGGCGGGAGTGTGTCATCATTAATGACTACGCATTCTCCGATTCTGGGTTCTACTTGAGCATTCTTCCACCTATGTCGCTTATGAAGGTCTTTAAGGTAGTCTTCCTTCCTTCGTTTTGCGAATTGGTGGTGTAAGACCTTGAGTTTTTCCCATCTATTAATGAGCGAGAAGTTTTCGTGATTCGATTCGGGGAATGAGAGGAGGGGAGCACCCCGGAGGAAGTGGCCAGGTGAGAGCGCTGTAAAGTCCGTCGGATCTTGGGTGAGTGGAGATATCGGACGAGAATTTAATACAGCTTCTACATTTCCAATTTATACCCTGGGTGAGTATTTTTGACAACATAACGGGATACCATTTGAAGAAATACAGATAACTCCTTTTCAGTGACTCTTTTGGCTCCTATAAAAGTTTTGCCATTGTCACTCATTGTTTTAGCGGGGTAACCACGGCGACCAACAAAATGAGCAAAGGCGGCGAGAAATACCTCTTTGGTCAGGTCTGAGCACAGCTCGAGGTGTACTGCCTTTGTTGTGAAGCACTCAAAGACGGCCACATAGCCTAAAGCGGGGGATCTTAGCATGGAGGCTTTTATTTGAAAAGGCCCAGCAAAATCGACACCGGTGGTGGTGAAGGGCGGAGCGAAGGTGCATCGTTCGTGCGGCAGAGCAGCCATAATCTGCGAGCGCATTTGCTGTTTGTGAATGGTGTATGATTTACATTGATAAATGCATTTTTCGATGAGGGGTTTGAGCCGGGGAATGTAAAATTCTTGCCTGGTCATCTGCTGCATCAGTCGTACTTCTGCATGGAGGAGTAGGTCATGGAGAAACTTTAGATAGATTAATGCGAATCGGGACTTTTCCGGAATTATAGAGGGTAGACGTTCGTTATAACTCAAGGTAGCATGAGCAAGGCGTCCATTGACGTGGAGAACTCCATTTTTATCCACGAAGGAGTTAAGAACTAATAGTGAACTCTTTTTGTAAATGGGTTTTGAGCTTTCTAAGCGGGTCTTTTCATGGGGGAAGTGACGGGATTGCGTGATTATGATAAGACGAATTTTCGCGTAGCGGAGATCACCATGTGATAGCGCGGTCATGAGCTCCTGGCGCTTTGTCTTTTAGCCGTCTGATGAACTTAAAGACGTAGGCCATTACTCTCAAGGCTCGAGAGAAAGAGGAAAACCTGTCCAGAACGTCGGGATCTTCTTCGGTGGTGAGTAGTGCCTCCACTCTTCGCACTTCCGGCGGGTTGGCATTTCGAACTGGGGGTTTTGGCCATCCTTCGGGGGGCTTGGATAGCCAATCAGGACCGTTCCACCATAACGAGGACGCTGCTAGGTCCAGTGGCTTGCAACCCCTTGTGCCCATATCTGCGGGGTTGTCGCTGCTGCGTACATGTCGCCAGGTGGCGTTTCCGACGAGTTCCAAGATCTCCGCGGTGCGATTCGAGACGAACGTTTTCCAAGAGTGGGGTGGTTTTTCCAGCCATGCCAATACAATTTCAGAGTCAGACCATAGTACCAGTTTTCTTTGAGAGAGGTCGAGATGGGACTGGACAGCTGCGACAAGTTTGGCTAAAAGAAAAGCTCCGCAGAGCTCAAGCCGGGGTAAACTAGTTGTTCGAAGGGGTGCTACCTTGCCTTTGGAAACCAGAAGATGGGAAGAGGTACTGGAACCATGAGTAGTTCGAACATATACGTTGGCACAATATGCCTTTTCTGAGGCGTCACAGAATCCATGGGTTCAACATGCTGGTCAAGAATAAAGTTTACCCATCGAGGAATTTGAATGGTCGAGATTGTGTGGAGATTGGTTGCGAACTGAGACTATTTAACAAGATGGAGGGGTTTGGCTTTCTCGTCCCAGTCAGTTCCGTCGATCCAGAGCTCTTGTAAGAGAATCTTTGCCTGGAACATTATCGGCGTAAGCCACCCTGCGGGGTCAAAAAGTTTCGCGATAGAGGAGAGAATCTGTCGTTTAGTGCTAGCAGATGAGGCTGGGATGGAGTCGATCGTATAGGAAAACGTGTCTGTGAGCACATTCCATTGGATCCCTAGAGTCTTTGTGGTACTTGCTTTTTCGAACTCGAGAAAATTAGTATCGAGCAAGTCTCTTTCCTTATATTTTTGAGAATTTCTGGGTGGTTCGCTGTTATTTTCTTCAAGTGAAAGCCTGCCGAGTTTAGAGCCTGGATGACTTGGGTGAGATATTGAGTGGCGATTGTCAGATCGGGGCTGCCAGAGAGTATGTCATCGACATACGTTTCTTTATTCAGAATGGGGGCGGCCATTGGGTAGTTGGTTTTTTCATCTTGTGCTACTTGGTAAAGTGTGCGAATGGCGAGGTAGGGCGCAGAGTTTACACCGAATGTGTCCTTTTTTAATTTATAATCATGAATGGGACTGGTTGTGGGAGAACCAAAGATTATTCTTTGAAAGTCCAAGTTTTCGGGATGTAGCAGTATTTGTAGGTACATCTTTTCGACATCACCATTAAATACAAATTTATACATTCGCCACTTGAAGATGAGAAGCATCAAATCAGGCTGGGAAGTTGGTCCGGTATACATCGTTAAGAGAGTAACCGGATCCCGAAATCTTTGATGCGTTAAAGACAACTCGTACTTTTGTCGTTCGTTTTTGGGCTTTATAACCGCATGGTGAGGGAGGTAGAACGACATGTACTTGCCTGAGAGGAATGTTTCTTGGGACATAGTTTTTTCCATGTGGTTTAGGGTGAGATATTCTTCCAGGACATTATCATATGAGGCCTTTAAATCGCCCTTTTTGAGGAGGTTTCTCTCCATTCCGAGAAATTGCTGAAGAGCTGAGGAGCGAGATTAACCTAAAGAGATTGCTTTGGGAAAACTTGGCTTGGACGGAAGCCTCACCACATAACGACCATCAGAGTTGCGAGAAGTGGTGGATTTATAGAAATCTTCACAAAAGTCGTATTCAGGAGAGGTAGGATTGAGGTTTGGAACTTCTTCTAGTTCCCAAAACCGACGCAATTGTGAGTTGAGATGCTCATTAGATATTTCCTCTATTTGTGTAGAGTATGAAGCTATGTTTTCGTAAATCTGACCACTAAGTATCCAACCAAATATTGTGTTCTGAGCTAGCAGAGTTGGTGAGATTTTTTCAATGCCCTCCTCGATTATTTGAGGGATGATATCACTGCCTAACACAAGGTCAATCTGGGATGGGGAGTGGCAGTTTGGATCTGCCAGTTCGAAATGAGACCATTTTTCTTTGTGGTCATGATTAAGTGGGAACTTGCGGACCATTTTTGTCAGCTGAGGTAACACGATAGCTTGAGCATTTATTTTAGTTTGGAGATCGGCGGAGACCAAGACTAAAGAGCATAATTTTTCGAAGTTTGAACAACTCTGCCACCCATTATTTTGAGCTTTGGTGGAGATAAAGCTTCGTTCTGACGCCTGATTTATGAGAGCTCTTAGCTTAAATATTTCTCCTCGGTGTGACACCGGTACCATAGCTGTCGGGAGGAGTATTTTTCTCTCATTCTCTGAATAGAATGATTGCTCCTGAATTCCTACTGCTTCGTGTTCATTAGTGACTGTTTGGGGTGAAGTTTGCACACTTGAGTTTGCAGAAATTGTAGTTGCCACTTGCGAACTGGTTTTTTGCACTCTCCATTTGGCACCAGTTGGGGTGGTCTTTCCTCGAGCTGAGGTATTGTTCCCACAGGGATACTGTAGTTTCGGGAAGCTTACAGGTTACTATGTAGATGAGGATGCGGTCCCAATTTTCGGTTGAGACTTGCTGAGTTGCGAGAATTTGAAGGCAGTTGTTTACTGCAGACTGCAGCCGTTGTAAGTCTTCGCTGCTTTCGGTGGGAATGGGTTTGAGGTTCATTAAGATTCGTATTTGGTTGTCTACCAAAATACGCTTATTCTCATATCGAGGCCGAAGTGCTTCCCATGCGAGATTAAAGCTTTCATCACAGAGAGAGAATTGCTTTACTATTTGGTTGGCTTTTCCTTGAGTTTTGTACCTGAGATGGTACAACTTTTGGCCTTGGGTGAGCTCAGGGTGATTTATATATACCGCTGAGAACATATCCCGGAAAGAGGGCCATTGTTGATTTATTTTGGAATGAATTTCCGTCATCCCTTGTCAAGTTTGGTTTGCAGACAGGGCCATTGTTCATAACTTCCGTAAAATACTTCGGTGTCACAAGGAGGGACGGTTAAGCCGAGGCCAGACTGGCGTTTGGGTTGTGATGTAGAGGGAGTAGGCATGGGATTGCTCACTTGCTTATGAAGATGGAGCTGGTCAGCGATTTGAGCTTTAGTGTCTTCGTATTGATCGAGACAAGACCGATATTTGCGAAAAGCGCTAGCTTGGAAATCTTCGGGAAGGTCTTGCTCGTCTGCCCCTACAACTACATCGTAAGAGTTTTGAACTCGATTCCAAAAATTGTCTAAACTCGTATCTTTTATTTTCAGGCTTGATTCTGAGTTATTTTCGAGAGGCAGAGATTTGAATCTTAAACAGTAATCGACTAAATTATCAGTCTCTGCAATAAACTTAACGGAGGCCAATTGCCTTTGTTTTTTTTGAAGTTTTCCCGTTTGAGCGGGCAGAGCGTTGAGTTTCGATCGCAACGATTTTCTCGTCATCACTCATTTTGGGAATTTGGGATTCTTCGTTAAACCCCGAGAAAATTTATAAATTTATAAAGAACTCGAGAATACTAAGAATGCAATTAAATTAAATTTTTATTTTTTTTTAAGTAAATGCAATTCCTCTTACAGGAATGCCAGAGAATTTAATCCAATTCCTTTTTAAGGGAAAGCCAGAGAACTTAATGCAATTCCTTTTTAAAGGAATGCCAGAGAAGTAAATATACAGTGATATAATATGAGTAAATAAATAATGAATGTGTGAGTTTTGCGATTATGTCAGTGCTCGATTGCGAATTAGAGAAAAATTTAGGTTTAATTTATTTACTAATTTATTTATTTAACCGTTTTTGAGAATATAGTAATTTCGAGAAACTTGCTCAGCAAATGAAAGTGTACGAGATTTTATTTATTTTATGTAAATGCAAGTTTATTTCACGCGCCTGTGACCGCAATATTATTTATATGTACATAGGAGGACCACACAGTTGAAGAACGAGAATGCGCTTCTATTACGTTTGGTAAAATGCAAATTTAATTCGCGGGACTTTAACCAATGGTATTTGTATATAAGCGCCGTCAACTTTATATATGTAGATATGTATGAGATTGTGTGTATATAAGTATGCCTATGTGTTTATATATGTGTGTTTATATGTCGCTTGTAATATTGTCTCACTTGTGTACCTTTGTTGTCATGAAATCGCCACTTTTATTTTAAACAAGGGAAACACTGCTAAGAAAATGTTTACAATTTATGTATTATTACGAGCAAACGTTGTGGGGAATTTAAGTTTGTATACATAAATATCAATGAGAAATTATATTTGATTTGGTAAAACCGAATTTGGGAGGAGGGGTAATAGAAAATTGCCTATGTACTTGTAAGTAGATTTGTATTTATATGTGTGGACTGTATTTGTAAAACGCTTGAGCGGGAAAATATGTACAAATAGGCGGGAAGAGAAATCAGTACATATGTACATGCATATATGTAAGTATTTTCGAGATACGGGATATTGGCTTTCGGAACTTATTTACTCGAAAACTTGGAAATATACATATATGTATATGCACGAATTTCCAAAAAATTCTTTAACGGGCTGAGGATTCCGTTTTAATCGGAAAAAAGGCACACAAGGTTTTTATGAATTTTAGGTTATCTTTTTGAAATATTTTAATGCAAGACTTGTAAATGTGTATGTTGTAAATACCGTGGGAATATGAAGCACTAGGAGAAATATATGTTTACTTACGGTTTGCAATAGGGATTTTTTACTTCCTGCTGGTTCGGGGTCTGCTGGCGCAGAAGGACCAAAATTGCGCGCAATGGGCTTCCTTGTGGCGAGTGGTGGGGCTGCGGGAGGTACAATCTCCAAGTGATCGCCAACGGTGGCAATTTGATAGGCGACACAACTCTTGCGGCGACGGGGTAGCGGTAGTGAACTGGATGCACGGTCTTCGTTGCGACGATGGAGCGGATGATCACCTATTGATAGGCGACACAACTCTTGCGGCGACGAGGTGGCGGTGGTGAACTGACTGCACGGTCTTCGTGGCGACGATGGAGCGGATGGTCACCTGGTGCATTCAAATGTCGGTGATGTTGGACGGCTTATTTCGCCGGAACACTTTGGCACAACGCAAATAACGTTTGTTGGCGGAAATGAAAGAGTCTACAAATGTATTTAATGGTACTTTATTTGTACGCTTTTTACAAAGCAAATTTACAATAATAAGCCGTACGCGGTTAAATTACAAAATGAGGATGAACTAATATATGTTCTGAGAGTCTATGATTTTCACGCGCGAGCACTACGACTTCCTTTTAGAAAACGGTAGAAAATTATGCGGATATTTAAGATTTCGCTTAACTATTTCGCGCACGAGCACTGCAGCTTTGTGTGGATACCAAAAAACGATTGATGAAAAAAAAAAATATAAACTCATCTGTCAAATGCAAAGTGTGTCCATACATACAATACAATGTGTATGTATACAGCGAGTGCTCTTGCTAGCGAATAGCTCCCGCGTTGCCAACTACTTAATCATAACGTACAATAATGCTTACATAACGTGTTCACTAAATATAATTCCAAGTGCAATGTATGCAATTTGATAAATATAAATGCAAAGGTATTCAAAAGATACAATCGCAAAAGTTAAAATCGTATTAGGTAGATGTTTTAGTACAAATTCAAAAGTAAATACGCATAGTTATGAATGCATACAAATTCAATAAATACATACATAGGGTGCTAGCGTATATATCGCATAGATATGAATGCATACAACTACAATAAATACATTCAATGAAATACTGTGGACGTGTTTCCGCATTGGTCGCTCCAACACCAATTCAGAAAAGCCAAGCCCCGTCATCTTCACCTGTTTCTCCTTCCGAGGGTGTGTTTGGATCTGAAGAACCATATCCAACTCCTTCAACATCAGGGACAAAGCGACGCCGACTTGAAAAAAGTGATGATAGGTACGCCAAAGTTGTTGAGCGGGTCTTAGAGACGGTCACTACTGCATCCAAAAATGATTCTTGGGGCGACATCGGCCATTTTGTTGCCTCAAATGGACGTGTATGGGAAGCGGGAAATCCGCAAATTGCCAACCAATTTAAGAGTGATTTCTATGAGCTAGTATTCAGATATCAGAAGAGTTTAACAGAAATGACGGAGGTGAGTGGAGTGCAATTATATATATACATAAATACATATGTAAGTTAAAAACATAAGTTGCGAAGCTGTTCTGCTGGCTTAAACGATACATGCTTGTACATGCTTAAACAATACATGCTTGTC